CGATTGCGTGGTAGTCCAGCAACATAACTGTTAGGCCATCTGCTTGTCCTAGACCTGATATCTTACCTAACTATTGGGTCGTTGGAAAAGTCATGAGGCATTTTTGCATAGAAAAATGTAGGAAAAAAATACATCATGGCTTTCCTGACAACCCAGTACGCTCATATTGGTAAATAAATGACTACACACATTTATGTAACTATTTTAAATCTTTGGGTGACAAACTGAAATGTTTTCACCTTTTGGGTTTTTTTGGCTAGATAAAGGATTCAAGCTGGGTAGTTCCAGAGTTGTTTACAATGATTTTTCTATTTTAGTTACTTGTATTTGTTAGTTTACTTCAGGGACTGAATTTCTTAAGAAAGATATTGATGGGCCAGCAGATGGCGTAGTAGTTAACGTCACTGGATTCCCAGATGGTCAACCCTGGTTCAAGTCCTGGACCTGGTAGCTTGAAAGTCATATCAGGCACATGTGTATGTGTGCGTGTGTGTCCAAGATCCTAGGAGGAGAATGGAGAAGAAGCAATTGTGGTGTGGCCATCACCCCCTGGGGGGTGATATCTCACTTTCCCTCTCACTGTCTCTATCTCTCTCCAGTGAGTGTACTCGCTTAAGACAAAAAACTCTAAAAAAGTACTTAGAATAGAAGTTAGTGAAAGAAATGTTTATTCCACGAGTAGAAATTTAGAATATAGATTTTCATGGGAAGGAAAAAAGGGTTCAAAATTTAAAATGTTTATTTCACTTGCGCAGTACAGAAGAAATTTGGGGATTTTACACACCCATTCCATGTATTACAGTGTTAACTGAAAGAGGTTAGAGGTATGCCCCTTCTTAAAAAAAGAGATGTTAAAAATTCACGTTAAAACAATTTTCTACTAGTTTTAACAGATTTTTAAATTTCTAACCACTGGAAATTTCATTTTCAGAATCAAGTCTATCGAGAGATTAAGTTTACCGTCCAGTCATTGCCGTGGATCAGTATTCCCACTGTTTTATTGTTCCTGCTGGAGTTGAGAGGTTACAGCAAATTATATGATGACGTAGGAGAGTTTCCAAATGGTGAGTTAATAATGTGGGCATCAGGAGAAGATGCTCTAGGCATACATCAGTTTTATTTTATTTTATTTATTATTTTTATTTTTAAGTTTGTTATCGGGCACATGTGCTCACTAGAGAGAGACAAAGAGAGAGAAAGAGGGAACCAGCAGTTAGCGTAATGGCTATGTCGCTGGACTCCCACGTAGTCGACCGCAGTTCACGTCCTGGACCCGGTGGCTTGAAACTCACGCCGGGCGCGTGTGCATGCGTGCCTAAGATCCTGAGAGGAGAATGGAGGAGAAGGGATTGCGGTGTGTCCATCCCCCCTGGGGGGGTGATTTCTCACTTTCTGTCTCTATGTCTCTCTCTGTCTGGCGAGTGCATGCGCCCTATAGCGAAAAACCTCTCCAAAAAGAAAATAGAGAAAGCAAGCTATCAGGTCCGGGACTCAAACTGTGGTCGCCATGTAGAAGTCTAGCACCTGCCATGCCTCCTGCTGGCCCCCAAACGTTAGTTTTTTTAAAGAACTAAATCTGTTTCTCCTTTTCTTTTTTTCAAATAATTACAAATTGTTCAGTTTTTTTGTTTGTTTTTTTTTTTGTTTGTTTGTTTTTGAGAGATTTTCACTGTAGGGCGCGTGCGCTCGCCAGACAGACAGAGAGAGACATAGAGACAGAAAGTGAGAAATCACCCCCCCAGGGGGGATGGACACACCGCAATCCCTTCTCCTCCATTCTCCTCTCGGGATCTTGGGCACGCACGCACACGCGCCCGGCGTGAGTTTTAAGCCACTGGGTCCGGGACGCGAACCGCGGTCGACTACGTGGGAGTCCAGTGATATAGCCATTACGCTAACTGCTGGTTCCCCAGTTTTTTCATATTGTACTTTCTTGCATTCATGTGCTACCACTTAATATGCATTCCTTTAGTTTTGTTAATGAAAGTCTGCTGTAGATGATTGTATTGGGGGAACATGAGTGAGATGGCTCCTGGGTTAAAATGATCTTTAGTTATTTATTGTTGCTGAAAATTCCAAAATACGGATTCCTTTTAGAAATTTTGTAATAGGGTGTGTGTGCTTGCTGGAGAGAGAGAGGGAGAAAATGAGAAATTACCCCCCAGGGGTGGATGGCCACACCGCAGTCCCTTCTCCATTGTCTTCTTGAGATTCTGGGAACACACGCACATGTACTCAGCATGTTTTTCAAGCCACAGGGTTGGAAACTCAAATCATGCAGGCAGCCATGTGGGATCCAGCTGCCTTAACCACCATCCTACCTAGCTGGCTCAGAAAATACAGATTTATTTATTTTAATTTGATTTATTATTTTTTAAAAATTTGTTATAAGGCATGTGTGCTCACCAAAGAGAGACAGAGGGAGAGAGAAAGCAAGCTGCCAAATCTGGGACTTGAACTGCAGACTGCCATGTGGGAGTCCAGCACCTCAACCACCATGCCACCTGCTGGTCCCGAAAATATAGATTTAAAAAATCTATTTCCTGCTGCCTGGACACTATAAATCCTTTAGTATATATTCTTCCATATTAAAAAAAGTGAATTTTATATTATAAAAATAAGTCCTACTATGCATACTGGTTGGACCCTGACTTTTTTTCTCTTAGCAGTATATGTATGGCCATATTTTTATGTCTATCAATACTGACATTACATTGTGTATTAGTTTTAGTATTTCATTGTATGGATATACATTTAAACAACCTGATTCTTAGACCTTAGGATTGCTGCTTTTTTCCCTATTACAAATAGCCTTGGTCTGACTAAATTTGAGAAAATTTTGAAACTGTTTCATTAAGACACATCTCTAATATATAGAAGGTAAAGAATAATCATTTACATTTATTGAGCGCCAATGTGTGTTGGCCAAGAGCTGGGAGCTTTCACCAGGATCAATCCATTTTTTTCTACAATTCTATGAGGTAGCTACTGTTACCATGTCCTATTTAAAGGTGAGTATATTATGGGAAAAAGAGTTTTGGTAACTTGCGGAGGTCACTCAGTCAGGAGTTGGACTCGAACCCAGGCTTACTGGGACCCGCACCCCTGCTCTCTGAGTAGGGGGTTAGTTACTTAGAGGTGGAACAGACACCATGCAGTGGGGTGACGAGTTGGCTGGAAGGATTCGGAGTAGAAACAGAGGGAGGCACTCCTGGTTCTGGGAGCACAGTGAGCAAAGGCACAGAGGTAGGGCTCTGAGGACATTGACAGGGCACTGAGTAGACCATCCTGGCTACAGCAGAAGTACGGGAATGATGAGACTGCAGACTAGAAGGGATTGTGGAGGCTAGTAGGTGCTGTGCTGGTTAAGGCACTAGACTCCCACATGGCTGGCCATGATTCGAATCCCAGACCTGGTGGCTTTCCCTCCCTCTCTGTGTGTGTGTCTCTGGTGAATGTGAAAAAAATAAAATTAAAAGAAAGAAGGGATTGGGTTATAGAGTAAAATACCACTCATTTAAAGGCATTTAGTGGACAAAAAGTTTCAAGGAGGGAGATAGCATGTAAAGATCTGTATTAGGAAGATTAATAGGAAGGAAAGTGATGAAATACTATTATTCTCAGAAACTTAATATAGATGCCTCAGGAGTGCCCTTTCTGTCTCATAAATATCTTTATGGTTCAATTAAAAAATACTTTAGGTGGGCATTTCAAGCTCTCATGAGGGAAAATGAGGAAACGAGGAAATGGCCGGATTCAGGGAGTCAAGGGAGAATAATTTATAATCTATTGAATAAATTATAATCTATTGAACAGTTTATAGTCCTGAGTCTAGAACCCCACTTTGCACTTAGATAACCTTGTGAAAAGTTGCTCTAATTCTGGGAGCCAAATCTTCTTTTTTTTTTTTTGGAGAGATTTTCACGGTAGGGCGCGTGCGCTCGCCAGACAGACAGAGAGAGACATAGAGACAGAAAGCGAGAAATCACCCCCCAGGGGGGATGGTCACGCCGCAATCCCTTCTCCTCCATTCTCCTCTCGGGATCTTGGGCACGCACGCACACGCGCCCGGCGTGAGTTTTAAGCCACCGGGTCCAGGACACGAACCGCGGTCGACTACGTGGGAGTCCAGCGACATAGCCATTACGCTAACTGCTGGTTCCCCCAGATCTTCTCTTTGAGAGAGATTTTTGCTGTAGGATATGTGCACTTGCCAGACAGACAGCAAGAAGTCACCCCCCCAAGGGTGATGGCCATGCTGCAGTCCCTACCCCTCCATTCTCCTCTTGCATGCATGCACATGCACCTGCTATGAGTTTTAAGCCACCGGGTCTTTGACTATCTGGGAATCCAGTGTTGTAACCAGTATGCCATCTGCTGGTCCCAGTGGGAGCTAAACCTTTTTTATTTTTTAAAGAATTATTTTATTTAACTTTATTTACTTATTTATTTATTTTAATTTGACAAGAGAGGGAGAGAGTGAGAGAGGAAAATGAGAAAAAAAGCCTCCAGGTCTGGGACTTTGAACCATGGTCAGCCATGTGGGACTCCAGTGCCTTTAACCACCATGCCACCTGCCAGCCCCAGGGAGCCAAATCTTAATGCTGCCGTTTCCTGTTGTGTCTTCTAGGGTGGTTTCACCTCGTCCTTAGCGTAATATCCTTCCTCTTTTTCACCGATATGCTCATCTACTGGATTCACAGAGGCCTTCACCACAGACTCGTGTATAAGGTAGAGTCATTTATTGGGGAGAGAAAAAGGCTTAACCTTCAGAAGTGCATGGTGATAGACTCTGCTCTCTGTCTCTAAGAATTCCCCCTAATTATACTAATTGGCTAAGTCAGGCCAGGTCCCAGGTATCTTTTGTTCATGGTATTTATGGGTCTGGAGGGGGTGTCTTAAAATGGTACTGTTTACTCTTGAGATAAAGATGGAAGGCATTTTATAAAGTGATTTTGCTAATTTCAAGGGGCTTTTCTTTTTTAGTTGAAAAGCTAGGTCAAATGTTGTCACGGGTGGAGTTTATGGGGCTAACGGTGTCCTTTTCTTCTGTAGCGCATACATAAGCCTCATCACATTTGGAAGATTCCGACTCCATTTGCAAGTCACGCTTTTCATCCTGTGGATGGCTTTCTTCAAGGCCTCCCTTACCACATATACCCTTTTATCTTCCCATTGCACAAGGTGGTTTATTTGGGTTTGTATGTCTTGGTTAATATCTGGACCATTTCCATTCATGACGGTGATTTTCGTGTCCCCCAAATCTTAAAGCCATTTATTAACGGCTCAGCTCATCACACAGACCACCACCTGTTCTTTGACTATAACTACGGACAGTATTTCACGCTGTGGGATAGAATTGGAGGCTCGTTCAAAAGTCCTTCTGCCTTTGAGGGGAAAGGGCCACTTAACTATGTGAAGAAGATGACAGAAGAACGCAGCAGCCTTGCACAAAATGGTCATAAAAACGAAAAGCTATTGAACGGCGAGTTTACAAAGACTAAGTAGACTATTGCCCAGTTATTAAATATTTTTAATAAGGAGAAATCATCTAAGTGTAGCCAAGATACATAGCAAGTAAATAGTATCATTTGAATCAGCATCGTGGCTACTGCTGAGGAGTGATTATAATGGTAGGTCAAAGGAAGATACTGTGAGCACCAAGATTTTAATCTCTTGCTTTGCCAGACGTTGGTCCAGGGACCACTTGAGTCTTTCTGGCCAGCAGATCTGGAGTATGTATAGCCTGAGCAATGATTTTAAATAAGACAGAGAATAAATTATTATGGAGACTAGGCTATATCCTTTTATCTTAATCTGCCCACGTTTATTAAGAAAAATTCATTGTGGTTAATAATACCTAGACTGGGACCAGCAGATGACATAATGGTTATGTCACTGGACTCCCATGTAGTCAACCATGGTTTGAGTCCCAGACCCAGTGGCTTAAAACCCACATTGGGTGTGTGTGCACGTGTGCCCCAAATTCCGAGAAGAGAGTGGAGGAGAACGGATTGTGGCATGGCCGTCCCTCCTGGGGGTGACTTCTTACTTTCCGTCTCTGTCTTTCCGGCAAGCACACCTGTACTATAGCAAAAAAAAAAAAAAAAAAAACTCTCTTTAAAAAAAACACACACTAGTAATACCAAGACTAAGCCCCACAACCAAGAAATACTAACACAAAGGCGGCTCCTCGTGCCAGGAATAGTTAACTCTCAGTGTTGATATGATAATGACTACTTGTAGGTTATTCAAGTGGAAATATCAGTGTGGGGAAAAAAATTCTGATATTAGTGGTCATGTAAATGACCTAAATAATAGCAGGTATAATAAGATTATCACCCTCCTACACAGGAGGCTCATTGCCTGAGGGCATTGTCAAATGTTACGTTTTACTGATAAGTAAATTAGAGTACAAAAAAATAGAATAAGTAAATTAGAGTTCAAAAACTATGTCAATACTATCATGATTTAACCTAGATCTGGGATTATTTCATGCAAGATTTTGATGGTCTTTAGTAAGGATACAAAGATATAAATCTGAATATATTTAGAAAAAGGAAATTTGATGTTACTAATTTTTTAAATTAAATCAATGCACTGCACTTTTATTAACTTGAAAAGTTACAAACCTGTAATTTTTTGTCAAAGGAAGTAATTGCCCGCTATTTAGTCCTGTCACTGACGACTCGTTTTAAAATCTCATTCTCCCTCTTCTCCCTTCGCACTGCTCACTTCCTCTGCAAAGATGTAATAGATACTTCAAAAAAAGACGTGTATTGTAACATAAATATATTGGAAAAACACGGTTTGTACAGGCATTCTATAAGCTATTTATGTGAAATCAATAAAAGTTGATCATGATTATTATTAAACTGTATCAGTTAAATATTGGAATAGCCTAAGTATTTTTTATATAAATATTGTGTCAGTTTAAAACCTCAGAAACGATGTGGGTCATTAAATTACTTAGAACATCCTGAGACGCTCACGGACAAGGGAAGGCAGAGGGGCTGTCACGTTGTCTTTATATTTCACATCTTTATTAGATTTGGGTATTTCAAGAGACTAGTCATAAAATTTGATGCTTGGGATTTAGAAGAAAATGTTTTTTTTTTCTCTTTAAGTTATTATTACAAGGCATTCTTTTTTAAATTTGAATTATTAATTTTAATTATTATTTTTATTTATTATTTTTCTTTAATTTGACCAGAGGGACACAGAGAAAGAGGGAACATGAGACAGCAAGGCACCAGGTCAGAAACTCGAACCAAGGTTGGCCATGTGGGAGTTCCAGCGCCTCAACCACCATGCCACCTGCCAACCCCAAAGAGTGTTCTTTTTAAGTTTGCTATAGGGCATATGTGCTTACCCAAGAGAGACAGAGAAAGAGAAGGAAAGAAGCAAAGTGAGAAAGCAAACTGGGACTCAAACTATGGTCATCCATGTGGGAGTCCAGCGCCTTAATGACCATCCCACCTGCTGGCCCCACAAGGTGTTCTTAAATGTGAAAATGAACAGTTAGTGTTTTGTAATGGGTCAATGCAGCTGAGTGTTTTTCACTCTTCCCACCTACCCCCAGTACACCACTTTAAGATAAAGAAGGAAATTAAGAAGTAACTTTTAATTTTCTTAATAATAATGAAACTAATATTCACTGAGCTTGTCCACTGTACTAGGTATTACTACATGTCCTTAACATGAGGAAATGAAGACCCCCGGAGGTCCTGTGGTTTTCCAGGATTGATTTCTCTCTCATGCAAAGTCCAGTGTGGATGTTTCTGGGCCTTGCTTCGGTGGCTTTCCCTAGAGTCATTCTGCAACCCAAGCTCCTGCTGCCTTGGACTCTGCCTCTCTTTCAGTCTGTAGTTACCCCTTTGTTGAAGGAGCACATGGGGAAAGAAGGAAAACTGCACATGGGAAATTTTTATGGCTCAGGCCTGAAGAGTGGCTCAGATCTCTTCTGTCCATGTTCTTTGACCAAAACTGATAAGGCCTACCTAACTGAACAAGAGTCTAGGAAATTGTTCAGCTGTGTGCCTATAAGGAAAGAGAACCTTACAGATTTTTGGGGAGGGAATCAATTTCTTCAACAGCTAAACCAGCATGGCTTATCCATGTATTAGGACACATCAGAAAGGGAGGACTAAAGAAAAGATGTTGAAGTAGTGAATGAGCTCAAAAATATTTCAAGTTATCCATGTGCTGTTTGTCTTATTATCTTTAATTTCATAATTCCATTGTGAGCATTAAAGGATCTTCTAGATTCTTCTTCCAGAGTGACTAATAGAGAAGAAAGGACCGAAGTTATAGGGAGAAGAAGGCTTCCTCAAAGGTGCTAGTCTGTCCTCCTCATTCTCTATTTCTGGTCTTATGATAACTGCATGCAGTATTATGTAAAGTAGGCCTAGCTTTTTAATGCACTACCACCACATTCTACTATTCTCTGTTAAGGAATTTGGGGAGTATTTGTGGAAATGAGGACTAAATTCCGTCCTACAGGAATATTAAGTGGTAGATGTTTTTCCTCAACTTGGAAATCTTTTATAGTTACAGGACAGAAAGGGAACATCTGAATTATGGTTTCTCTTTTATGGCAGGAGTTGGGAAGTGGCTGGAGATGGTTCAAGAACCCATCTCTCGACACCCTTGTCCCGAGTCATCTTCATCTTCCCTGTCCTTTAATACTGATAGCTGTGAATTTCTTACTTCTCATCCACCTGTGCCATATTTCTTTTTCCTCCCATCTTCTAGAAGATAGGAGCAGATTGGGGGAAAAACTATGAGCTCACTTTTTGATACAGGGAGTTTATAATACAGGTGGAGATGATATACTTTAAGTAGAGGTGATGTCTGGGAGGAAGATGGAAACTAGGGGGACAACTCAGGACAAAAAGATTTGAGATTAGCCTAATAGGAGAAAAATTTTAAATTGTCATGAAGAACACAAAAAAGGATACCCAAAGAAACTAACCAACTTGAGGGGTGCTATGGTCTCAACGTGTCCCCTGAAATTTGTATGTTGAAACTTAATTGCTGGTGTGATAGTAAGAATTAGGGCTTTTAGGAGGTCATTAGGTCATGAATGCAGAGCCCTCACTAGAGGCTTAATGACTTTATGAAAGAGGTGTCATCCTTTTTGATCTTCCTTCTCTTTCACTCTGCAAGGACACAGTGTTTATCCCTCCTAAGGACACAGCACCAAGTTGGTATCTTGGAAGCAGAGATCAGACCCTCACTGGTACCTTATTCTTAACTTTCCAGACTCCAGAACTGTAAGAAAAACTACATTATTTATAAATTATCCAGTATAAGGTATTTTGTTACAGCAGCACAAATGGTCTAAGACTCCAACTTCCTTTCTTAATCTTCCTAACTTCTTCAGACTGTACTTTGAAGTTGAGTGACTAACCTGTTTCATTTTGCTTTGTTAAGGTTTTTGCCATAGGGCACATGTACCCTCTGGAGAGAGAGAGAGACAGAGAGAGAGGGTAAGCAAGAAATCATCCCCCAGGGAGGATGGCCAGGCTGCAGTCCCTTCTCCATTCTCCTCTAGGGATTTTAGGTACTCACACACACATGCCCAGCATGATTTTCAACCCACCAGGTCCAGGACTCAAACCATGGTTGGCCATGTGGGAGTTCAGCGCTTCAACCACCGTACCATCTGCTGGCCCTGTGACTAACCATTTGATATGCTATTTTGTGATAAAGTAAATTTGAATCATGAATTATTAGGATATAGTAATTCTCTTATCAAATATTTGAGAAAATGTGATTAATAAAATAAATGTTATGTTAAATGTGTAGGAGAATTGATGGATTTAATTTATTAATTGAAGTAATGAGAATATAATTTCTCTTATTTTTAAATGTACTATATTTACAACTTAGTAAGATCTTCAAGTGGAACCTAGAGATTTAAGAAAAAATATGTTTTAGGTGTACGTTAATACTGCAAATATTGATTAAAGCAAGTATTTTTCTAAGTCTATCAAGGTTAATGCCAAATCTCTTCGAGTAAAGCTCACTGACATGTGATTTGCACATGGTTCCTTCTCGTCTTTCATAAGTTTTCCATTTCAGGGATGCTGTGTTTCTCCTATTTTATCTCCGTATCCCTTGATGGACATTTGGGATATTTCAAATGTAGGGTTATTATGAATAAAGCTGCTACATGTACAAGTCTTCATGTGTTTCTGTTTTCATTTCTCTTTGGTAAATCTCAGAATTGCTGGGTCAGAGATGTATGTTTGACTATATGAAATTGTTAAACTGTTTTCCAAAGTGATTGTCCCATTTTCCATTCCCATTACCAGTGATCAGAATTCCATTTTATCTACATCTTTATTAACACTTAATGTTGTCAGTCTTATTTTTTAGCTATTCTAGTGGGTATGAAACTGTGTCCCATCATAGCGTAATTTACATTTGTTATGAGTTCTTCTATTAAGCACCTTTTCCCTTGTATTTCACATGTGTATGTATGAGTGTGTATCTTTTATGTAGTATCTGTTTAAGTCCTTTGGCTATTTTGAAAATTGAGTTTTTCTTTGTGTTACTGTCTTTTTTAAAAAAAAAAAAAATTATTTAGTTTATTTTTTCTTTTTTTTTTTTTAAATTTTGACCAGGGAGAGACACAGGGGGGGGCGGGGGGATGGAAGTGAGAAAGCAAACC